TTAAGGTAGGATCGTTAAGGGTGGGTTATGAAAAATTTACTTGTAATTTTTCAGATTAAAGCGGTTTGGTTTTTGCAACAAGAAACGGAACGGACACTTTTTTTTTTCAGAACAAAAACCGGGCGCTCTCCTAAGATACGGGGGCATAGTGGTGGCAGTGCATTTCAAAACCGCTTAAATCATCTCCTTCTTGTTGAAATCAGGACTAAGCCTCAAGCGGAGGAGGAGAGGCCTCGGATGAGTGAGCAATTTTTATTTTCCATGAAGTTCCGGCTCCATTGTAGGCTTTCCCCTGGGGTCCCGATTTGAACAAGAAGGAGATGATCTAAGCGGTTTTCAAATGCTCTCCCACCACCATGCCCCCTATCTTGCGATAGCCTCCTATGCTTCATATCCTGCGATAGCGCCCAAAAATGTTTTAAAAGTTTTGAAAAGTGAATTCCATTGCTTTACTCTTCGATCAACGCTAGCACAACTTTTTCTCTTCGTTTTCTAAGCGAGCACTTGCTCCTAAAATAATTGTATAACTCACCCATAGGCAATTCCTTGAATGAACGACTCGCGGAGCGCGTCATGGTGCGGTGCGTCGAGATAATCGCAGAATTTTTGGTGGAATGCTTCCTCCTTAGTAAGCGCTTGAACTGTGCGTACATGCTCGATTGCTTCCATAGCTACCTGAAATAAATGCATTGATAAATTGATGATGATCGAATTTCCGCTGGAGCCATTATTACTTTTTCGAAACAACATTTTTGGGCGCATTTTCAATCTGCCAACTCCTCGAGCTTTAGCTTGTTGCCAAAGGGTTGGGCAATGGCTCGAGGCTCGAGAAAGGAGGGTCATCACTCCATATCCGTAAGGCTTGAACCACATAATGAGGTCTTAAACAACGACGGAACCCGCCGATACGTTGGTAAAAAACGTAGATTCTCCCAAAAGAGCTTGGAGATCACTACATTTGATGTGTTTTGCCCTGACACTTCTGGTATTCAGTGGCTGAGTGGAAGAGGCTAGCGGTTAATGGGATGCCCTGTTCCGTATTCGGGATCCCCAACCGAGCATTTTACCTCTTCAATTTCGGATGACTGGTGCATGACCAGTCCAAGGTAACACGATTGACATCAATATTAGCATGCTTTTCTCAATTCATTGCCCATGCCAGACCCAAATCGAAGCTTCACCTCAACAAATTTGGAAGGAATTTGAGTGTGTGGCGCATCCCAAAAGGAACAGTTCCGTAGGGGCCTGTGGAAATTTCAAATCTATCATTTTGTTATATTAATGTTCCAGTTCAAGTGGTTAGCGAACGCCCTTCATTTACGTACCTTGCCGGAATCCTCGAAATCCTTCGCATTCTTACGATGCTTGCCACTCATCACGCGAACTCGCAAAGCTTGTCCGAAGCCTTTAAAATGAATAGTAAGAAAGACTTAACAAATCGGTGAGAAATTATTTTGGAGCTTTCAAAACTCAAAACACCATATTCACCAAGCAATGGAAGGATTCCGACCACAAGTAATGCCATTTGCCATCCATAGTAGAACGCCAACACAATACAGCAATCAATCGAAATACACGTCATGATTACGGTACTCAAACGGAAATCGATCGCCTATAAGTTCGGATCATGAAAAAACAAAGCAAACATTTTTTGAACCTTAAGGGCACATGTCACGGTAAAAAGATGTGATTGGCTTATTACAAAAGTTTGATCAAAGTAAAAAAAAAATTTGCCTTCTCCTCATCACAACTGATTCAGAACACTGGGTAGAGCTTTCGACAAAGGTAGTGTGTGCCCCGACGAGAGGCTGGTTGGGGTTTGCGAGATATAAGACAGCTAGAAGGGACGCAGGCATGGGTGAGCCGTCAGAGAGACGGAGCAGAGAGCGTTCCGGGCGTAATTTCTTTGTTCTTAAGCTGCATTTTTCTGTAGCGATGACGCATATTCCCTCCTCTAGCACTCCACAGTTTTTCTCTGGCTCGACACACTCAAGCAGTCCCATCGTGGAGTCTCAGAACAAGGTCGCACCAAAAAGTATGACAAAAGGTAAGGGTGAAGGGTAAGGTGAGGTAAAAGCACGACTTTGATCAAGGGCACTTACCGAACGTAAATTGGGCACATCGGTAGCTAATCGCGTACAAATCTTTCCACAAGCATGGAGTGAAGAATCGAAATAACCCATGTCTTGTGAGAGAATGTTCGAGAATAGCTTCGAACGCAGGTCCATTGTGAGGTTTTCAGCACCATAGCCCATGAAAAACGTCTGAAAAGGTATGCCTTGACTTGACGTACATCATGAATATATCAAAGGCAGCAATAGCGGAAAGCCGTCATCGGTGCAAAAAAATAACAGAACTTGTCAGCAACCTAAGAAACGGGACCGTTTTCTCAGCAGATGGTTTCAAGAGTGGACGAGCATTTCTACAGAGGGCTTCGGCTCCCTATCATGCCGCTGAGTGAGCGGCCCTCGTTCTACTTGGACAAACCCCTAACCCCCATCACCCATTTTTCTTCCTCATATTCATACGGTTATCATGATCGCTGCTTTTAAGCCTCACATTGGTTCATTTATTGAGTCTCTTCTGTAGATTTAAGTTACTAACATACACATTGAAAAATGGTTGACTATGGTTTCCTTCGACATGCGCATAGCCCTGTAACCCACAATCCATGGGAAGTAGAGTGTTTGGAGCAGAATAATAGCGCTAAATCAAATACTTTCTAACCTGCATGAGAACGAATGTACCCACATTTATCACTAATTGGCCTTTTTTGTACCAAATTTTACTTCCTTTATAATTTTTGTGGCAGCTTGGAGCGGTAGTGCGGACAATTGGAAATCAGAAAGCACAGAAATAGCAAACAAGAAGAAATACTTCAAATTTGCCCTAAATCTTGTTTAGCACTGGGTAGACGTGAAATCACGAATGTGGCTATTGTCTTCCCTTGAAGCGCACTCGCCGCACAACATCGCACCGAGGCCCCTTAGTAATATGCCTACAGCACCCTGTCTCCCGGAGCGGCAGCGGACCAAGGCCGCCAGTAATTGGCTTGCACTGACGCACTTTCAATGCTGACCCACCTTCAAGGGAGCGATGTTTTACACTTTCTCACCCCTCCAAAACCCTCTACTGCTTTCATTTCTACGCCCAGTGCTTTCATTTCCACGCCGCATCCAAAGAGTTTCCTACCTGCATGAACATTGTTGATCCTTGAATGGCAGCTAACACGAGAAACATCAGTGCCCAAAAGAAGTGACCTCGAGAGTAGTGTGCAGTGTTTGAAAACGACTGAAATGCTTAGAAGAAATCTTTATGTTGAATAATCGCGGATTCTAGCGAAGCATACAGAGCTTTCACATCAGAGAATTATATCCAGATTTGATGACGTCCCTAGCCAATATTATTGCACTTCATCTGAATTCAATATTTGACACCAAGTCTCCTCCAAATGGTACGTTTAGTGTGGAAAGCCGCAAATTTGCTGCGTTTGCTCATTGTGAAGCTGTATTCAGGTACTACAGTGTTATCGACAAGGCACAATATGCTACAACACTCGCGGTGGGCGATCACCGTCGCCATGAGTAGCGGATGGGAAGGTGACAGGGAAGCGGAGGAGAAGGATCTTAAGGTTCCTAACTAACGACTGCCTGAGGTGGAGGTGCTGCAACTGCCCGAGATGCTCGAAGGGTCGGTATCCATCAAGTAGACGGAAAGGAGGAGTCGGATGCCTTGGATTTTTTCGATGCTGTAGATGGGCACTAGGCGGCAGCAGGTGTACGGAGTGCGGAAAAATAGGAGGACAAAATGAAAACACGCTGGAAAGTTAACTTTGCCCTAGAGAGAGGTTCTAATGACGACCTGAAAAAGGTTCGTATTGCCGCGGACCTTTCCTTGACGCGATGGTCACAATGCTCATGGGTGTAATAAGTTCAAGGTTTTGATAACCCTTATGGATTATTGCACTGATTCAACTTACCGTAATCACTTGCATAAACACCACAGAATACGTGGGATAGACGAGACCTCCGATGACGCAGGCTGTGAGTCCCACCACTATCGTTTTCCAGTGAGGAGCAGCATAGCCGAGGATTTCGAACAGATTCGTCTTCTGCACTCCTTCAGCCTTCAGTTCTAGAAAACGTCGTTTATTACCCATCCAAGTATGAAACTTTGTTGGCTTTCCGTGCCCCTCACATCGATGGGCCCTTTCGGGGGTCAACCGTGAAGTATTGGGAAAAACTGCAACGTCACACCAAATAAAGCAGATATATCTTCTGCTTGATAAAATCCACTTAGGGATAGATGGTGTAGGAACCTTCACGAAGATCGAGTTAATGGCATTTTTTTTCTTTACTGTCATCAATTTGCCTGATTTATCAGCGTCAAGATCGTAGCAGTTCGCATTCTGAGCTATAATGAGTATTTTTGTTGTAATCATGAATATGACTTTGATCTACTTGGAAGAGACTGTTTTCCCTTACTTCAAGGCTCACCTGCGTTTCGTTCGCTGTTTGAACTGAGATTTCTCTGGAGATTATGCTGGCCCTCTTCTGACTCATAGCTGCGAACTCTTCATCGTGTTCGTGAGCTGAGAAGGGAACATGATCATGGGGTATGAGATTCAAACAAGCATATAGCACTTCTAAAATAACTGTGACCGTTGACCCCAATTGCGGGAGCCGGGTACCGATAATTATAATTCGAATGGTTTATGTATAGGCGCACAGGGACGGCTGGCAATTATCCAATTTCTGCAAGTGAGCGAAAAAGTAGCCTCGAAATCTACGAGTGTATCTAAAGTCCTCGCCTGATTGTTTAAAGGAGGAATTCACGATTAGAATGAAGGTCGAAGAAAGGGAAACTGACCTAGTTGAGGGACCCACGGACCTCCTGAGGGTGCGAACTGACGCGCAATTCGCATGGAAAATTTGACCTCGGCGACCTATCATGCCTCAAAGCTGGCGGGTCCGGCGATCTCCGCCCACCGATCATCTGATCACTCGCCGTAGTTCAATACGTGGCGAGTGATTAGATAGCTGAGAGAGCGTAGTGTTGAAGAGGGCACAGCGATGAGAGTCGCATCAATGCTCGAATCAACGGGCAAGGAAGGGGTACCATTTTCTCGGGTTCTGGGCCGTTTCTCATGGTTCTTCCTTCTTTCGTGTACCACTCACCATCCCTAGGTTAATTTGAAATGGGTTGCTTTTTCATCGTGAATTCGTCCTTTAAGGGAATTGTATGCGTCCAACTCTAGTTTGAAACAAAGGAAGGCTGAATGTGAAGAGA